GTGGCCACGGAGCCAGGACTGGGGGGGGGCAGGGGTTTTGGGTGAGGGGCATGAGCAGGGCTGGGGGCAGGGGCTTTGGGTAAGGGGCAAGGGGCATGAGCAGGGCTAGGGGGCAGGGGCTTTGGGTGGGGGGCAAGGGTCAGCAGTGCTGGGGGGCAGGGGCTTTGGGTAAGGGGCAAAGGGCACAAGCAGGGCATCCTGCCATGTATCCCCTTCCCTTGTTCTGTTTTTCTGGTATGCCAGCACTCCGGGACCTTGCAAGGTAGGCATTGTGGGTTTTTTCGGCTCTCCAGCCAAAAAACATTGCCTACCCCTGTCCTAAATGCTTTCTTTTCTTTGTTTGTTTTCTCTTACCATTTCTGGGAGTTCCTCTGTTGCATGTGACTTGCCAAGCCAAGGAGTATCTATCACAAATTCATGGACTAATGACTAGCCCCCATGTACTTTTATACACATGGAACTGGTCTGCCTGTGTAAATATATTACTGGAAGTGCTACATAACTGAAATTTCAGGCCCATTCACACTGCAACTTTTAATTGAAGTCTATAATGTGTTACTGGTCTGCGGGTTCTAAACCTTGCTTTGTAACTACACGCTACATGTTTATCAACACCCAGGCAACTAAGAGCACTTTGCCCTTGCTCATGGCTTCAGCTAGCACATGGCTATCTTTCTGTATCTGTTTTAGCATGCTTTAATTATTTATAATTTAAATAAATTATTAAATTATTTATATTTACAACCTTCCTTATGCCATGTGCTTTACAAGTTTCTTAAAATACATTTCTTGCACCAGAGAGCTCACAATTTGAGATTATAACAAAATGTAACAAGTGGATACAACAGAAGATTGAGGATGGGAGGACAGTAAGCATGCAGCATATAACAAAGCTATGAATAAATCTTCTGAAGCATGCTGCACACCTGTATGTGTATCCTTAGTAGAGGTGCACTGATATATTGGTCACATATCGGACCAGCACTGATAAAAGGAAAATTAACTTTATCAGCTACCGGCTTTTTTTGGCCAGTGTAGCTGCTAATGTCACTGCTGAATATAATATGCCTTCTGGCCAGGGCCCCTGGACACCTTGTGCATGCACACAGCCTCCATGCACGTGGCCAGGAATGTGGCTGGGCAGTGTGGAGAGTAGCACCCTGCAGGTAAGTCTGTGGAGGGGAAGGGGCATGGGGGAGGGAAGGGGTGTGGGGGGGCAGACCAAGGCCCCCATGGTGAGGGAGGGAGTGGGGCAGGGGCAGGCACTGCCCAATGAAGGCAGTGAATGGGACCCCGGGGCTGGGAGCAGGGTGAAGCCACGCACCCCCAGGGGAGGCATGGGCATCATCAGCCTCGGTGGGGGGGGGGCATGTGTTCCCCTGGATTTGTGCGCGGGGTGGATGTGGACTGCCAACTGTGGGCTCAGGGTCAGGGGTGGCGGAAGCATCTCCCTGGTGGAGTGGCTGAGACAGGGCTGGGTTCAGTGCAGGCATGAGCAGGGCGGGCTCAGCTGTGTGGGGCAGGCAGGCGGCAGCAGTGCTGGGAGTGTGGCTATGGGG